CACTGAATTATGCTGCAGCCAGTCCATCTGCAGCCCCCATCATCCTTCAAGGGTGGTACACGCAAACAGTGGTAACTGGCCTAGCTTCCTAATACAGTGTCAGCTACAAGTTTGCAAAGTACAAACATATCTGTATGTTCTCATTTGCTTAAAGATCTTTAAATGCACAAAGCTCAATGTTTCTTGTTTTGTAATAGCTTTGTAACTCAGGATTCATTAAAGTCTGGAGTTCGTGCAAGCGTTCCCATGACTGTGAAAAATCATCTGGTCCTTCTCCACAACCTCCAACAGGAGGGATGCTGGGGTACCCTGGATGTACCATCAGCTCAATGGTTACTGTTCTGCTTTGTTCATCTTGATGTGAAAATGGCCTGGCATCAGCAGATGGGCTTTCCTTGGCAGTGAAAGCTGCTAGGACAGTATTGATGGCACTCTGAATGTTATTGACAGACATGTTCTTGCCCATGGTACTCAAACCAATGTAAATGTCAGGCCATCTGCAAGGGAAAAAATACAAAAGTTAGTGCAAATAAACAGAACTCGGGAAGGTGTCACAATGTCCCAGGATCAGGACTGAAATGTTTCATGAAACTCAGCTGTGGTATTAGACATTAAAAAACACAAAGTCTTTGTCTCAAATTCTCTCTTTGATTATAAACATTGAAATAAACATTTAATCAAAACTAAAGCTCTACACTGAATGAGATAACTTCTTTGATGCATTTTATTAATATCCACAGAGTAACATCATTTAGCGCAGCAGTTTGCAGTCCTGCAGACAGCCCTGATTAAGTCAACTTCTGTACCGCTGCTTTGAATTTCGAACGTATAAATGTGGTATGGTACAACTGTAGCTTAGGAACCATAGGCTACAGACCCACTTAATAATTGGGGAAGGAGGAATGAAGATAATTTGGGAACCTCTATGGTATCTCATATATCAAAATAATAGAACTTTCAGTAAAAATATACTAAAACTGAATCAATCAACAAAACGGGTGATGGTTATTTCTAAGATCGATGTTAGTGCTAATGGTTTTACTCCAAAAAGTGATTATGTAAAATGGAAACTTTCCCAGAAATAGAACTGCTTCCCTATAAACATCCTATTGATCAGGTCTCTTGGCACAGAAATTTGCCATTCCTTAAGCTGATAGGGATTCAGAATTGCTTCCCCAAAGGACAAAACAACTGGCTTTTGCTGTTGAAGAGCCAACACAGCAAAGGAAGTGAGCTAGAGATCATTCCTTCTCATACATCTTCAGTAGAATTGCTTGCTAAGTTCCAACAGCAGGGCCAAATTCTCCCATGAAGTGTCCCTGTGTAAACCAGGGGGCGAGACAGATGTAAGTGAGGGCAGAAGTGGAACAACACTTATGTATGACAGAGCAGGGACCTTGTTGCTCAGCATCTCTTTTCCTGCTGATGGTGAAGAAGCAGGGAAAAACCAAAGCGTTTCCAGGACAGAAATAGTGTGTGTTTAACTGGGAACTGATTAAATTGACAATGCAGTGTTACTTCCCCACAAACATAGAATCTCCTCAGTTATCAAGTCATGTCCAGGGCAGACCTGCACTAAGGGAACTCTGCTCTGAAGAGCCAGCCCTACTATAGGTCCACTTCACAAACCTCTGGTTTGGCTTCACCTACTCACTCTCCATCCAATTCTCTGTAACTGTTTTCTTCTGTGTGTATTTGTTCTATAACCATTTGCCCCTTTCAGCCTTCTCTGGGCAGCTGAGGAAAAAAAGAGGCAGTGGAGGTAGCGCGGTTTCCCACTGATCTCAGTGGGAGGCTACAGTGCTGCATGCCACCACCATGCGGTGCTGTGGAGGTTGTAAGTCAGCAGTGACAAGCTAGTGCTACATTCAAGATAGTGTCCTCAGCAAGTAAACCAGTGCCTCTGGTTCTGCCTGTGCCCCTGAATCCAGAGAAGATGAAAAATGTTAGCAAAAGTCTCCTCCGGAGGTAGGAAAATGCCAGCTGTCTTCTTCTGCAATATAGTGGAAGGAGAATGGAGGAGGGCAGGGATTCTCCCTCTTTAGCTTTCCCTTCAATCTCTACCTGATGTCTATTATGAGAGAGATTTATTTTAGGATACTTTCTGGGTAAACCCCAAAGTGATTTCCCTACCTCCCTAGTCCTCTGCCTGAGGGGTAGGTTGCTCCAGTACAATCTGCAAGTTTCTGCTTCGCTTTGGTGATGACAAAATGCAACTCAGAGGGAAGAGTTTTCAACAAAACTGGTGTCCAAGATGTGGTAAATTAGTAAAAAAAACCCCCAAAAACCCACAGAATACAAATTCAAGCAGACTTTAAGAATGATAAAAGTTCATGCGTCACAGTGCATGAAGATTGCCTGCAAGGGTCAAAAAGGAAACATTTCTTCTTGAAAAAACACTGCATATTTTAAGTGCTTTATTAGGGTGAGGGGGATGCCCTTGTCTCTGAAGGGCCTGGTATTAGTAATTGCCAGAGATAGGATGCTAATCAGATTGTCTGATTAGTTCACTATCATTTGCTTTGATGTACAAATTTATCATCTTCCTCCTCTAGTAACAATGCAGACTTGTCTCTTAACAAGTCTCTCAAGTGGTACTTAGAGCCTTTCTGGAATCCTTCAATAAGTAAAAGGATTATTTCTGTAACATAAATCATCTATTTAAAACCTTCACATTGGTGAAGAATCTAGCATCCTGTGCTGTGCTAAATACAAGAAACCAATGCAACTTCATTATAAAGGCCCTCTAAGAAACAGACTCTGGTGCACTGAAAGGAGCAAACTCTCAGATAAGAACTGTTACCCCTTTTCAAACAAAACTACAAACTAAAACTACTGGTGCAGTAGCCATCCTGAATCTCTTTGGAAAGACACAACCAGGAACCAGTTTGTAGGAGAGGGGTGCATTTGCCTTACCTTATTCCATGCCTTGTAAACACATTGACCGTGTTAAAGGAATCCTGTTCTACTCCCAGATAAAAATCCATCAGTGGTGGCTCTATCCAGTCACAGCTGTGAAGGCCTGGTTCTATCGGAACACGTGTGTACTTGATGCCGTATTCTTCTAATACCTGAGCGAACACGTGCCTGACCTCTACATGAAAGAGCAGAGAGGGCATTTGCCATTAGAAATATGGTGACTAGGGGATTGGTTCTCCTTTAAGTAAGTAACTTGTAGGGGTCTTTTCCTTCCCACTCAAAAATACCATCCCATGTGGCCTCTTTCCCCTGAACCTGCTTTCCTCATGTGTGAAGAAGTCCCAAGAATTTCATTTTACAGCCCCTTCCATCAAGATGTGGTGTCCAGGGAACCTGATCTATTACTCCCTCAAAGTCTGCAGAAGTCACTGCCCCTTGAGAAAAAAAATCACATGATGTCTGTGGCTCAACCAAGGCCTTCTGGACCAAGGGCTGAGAGACTAATTAATACTCAGAGCTGAGCCTCTAGTGTTGTTCAGAGCATGGTGTGTTTTTCTAGCCAGCAGAGTCCATACTCTTTTAAAAAGAAATCCCCAAACGCAGTAGGTCAGGGGGCTGCTGTGGTCTTGATGAAGCAAGTCCAGGCCCAGATACCTGGGGTCTGCCACTGCCCAACTGTGTGACATTGGCCAAGTCACTTCACACCTCTGCTTCAATGACCCCATTTGTCAATGACTTCCCCACTGAGACAGAGGGAGGGAAAGTGCTAGGGACGTGGAAGGCAGGGGTGGTTTAGTTAAAAAAACTTCACCAGATTTCCTGTGATCTTGCACAGGCTCCACTGCAGAGGTTCTTTGCGTCGGATGCAGCTCATGATGTTGTTCCTCACATACTCCATGGCCTCACTGGCACAAGCTGGCCCTTGCTGCACTTTTCCATATCAGTCCCACCTATTTGCTTTAAAAAGGTGTCCACCCCACTGAGGCATGCTGAAGCTGCAGGGAGCTGATTTGTCCAGAATGCAGCACGCGCTCTCCTGCAATCTCTGCTGGCCTGGATGAAAGATGACCCCTGCCTGGCCTTGCGACTCTCTGCCTTGCTGGGAGGCCCAAGGCTCGGCTTTGAATTCCACACCCTAGAAATAGCAGCTCTGTGGCCCCTTGCCAGGTGGGCCCATGTGTGTCGTTCAGTGAGATACAGCTGATCCATTACTGTTGCCACGGGAAACTGGCAGGCATGGAAACCTCTTCTCAGCTGCTGTCCTCCATTTCCTGCTCACTTGCAGTAACCAGCCCATGGCCAGGGTGGATGAACAGGTCAGACCAAAGCATCGGAAGTGCATGTGAGCACATGGGAGTATCTCCATGCTGAGCTTTGGCGTTAGCACGTCCCAGGGTTTGACACTTACTGTCTGCTGAGCTCTAGCAGTAGATAACCTGCCTCCAGTCATCTTGGCCATGCAGGGGTGGGAGAAAGAGGGGCATAGTGACATCTTTTCTAAACATAACTTGGTAAGCTCTTCCTGTTCTAATGAAATCTGATATTAATGGTGGTGTCTGATTAGAAGCAGGCATTATTAGGCAGGTCTGTGGTCGTTCTGTAGGGAGGGGACCAGTAAATCTCCCCCACCCTGCTTCAAGCCGTATTATTAATCTCTATTACACTGGCCTATCTGGGAAATATGCAGCAGAAAATATCTTCCCACCTCCTTCCACACTTCTGCTTCATGGACCCCTGACCTCCCGTGGTCTGGCTTTGACAGAGAGCGGAAGATGAGATGCTGTAACCTCCGTCCCAGACACACATCTACCCATACCCCTTTTTCACATTTACTCCTCTGTGGGCCAAATGGACAGAATGCATGCTGAATACCATCCCTGTGACTTGACTGTAGAAAAACTGCTGCAGGAAGCTGCAGAATGACCTATGGCTTGAGTCTAACTGATGCAAGGGATTTAAGGCTGAAAAGGGGCCATTTTGGTCATCTAATCTAAACTCCCACATAACCCACAAAATGAGGTCTCTACAGAGACACTGGAAATAGTGGAGGAATGGGATTTTCAAATACCCAAATGGAAATTAGACACCCTGCTGCCAGTCACACCTATAAAGATCCATCTAAAAGCTTGAAGGGACTCCTCTATACATGACACCACTGAGCACAGTCATCCTAGATGCCTGATGCTATTAATGTGGGTGAAACAAATGGCCCATTTTTATAAAACTTTTTTTTTAAAAAGGAAAAAAACCTAATACCACTGTGACCGCCCCCGTTTCAACGTGGTCAATCAGATGCCTGAACTCCCACTGCAGCTCAGGCAGGGAAGAGCAGGGGGAGACTGACAATTCACATTACAGCCCAAACAAGGGTATGTCTCACTCTAGGAATCAGACGCTGGAAAATGCTGAACCAACAGCTGCTGATTCTGGCACAGGAAGGATAATTTCCCATTGGGCGGGATGGAAACATCTGATGCTGTATTACTGGACCAAACAGCTTTGTGTAGCTTTTCATTCACAAAGCTTTGAGCTGGGGGGAGGAAAGAGGGTGTCTTTACTCAGAGCAGAATTATCTTTGATCAGTTGGGACTGGGAGGAATATGGGCCCCATCCTACCTGGAAGAACATGGACATGCTGGTGTCCATCCATGTGGTGTGGTATGTGACCCGTCAGTTCACGGAACAGGTCAAGCTGTGCCATTAGCTCCTGTTTCACCTACATAATGGAGATGGGAGTGGGGGCAGAAAGAGAGAGTGGTCAGTACAGCAGAAAGAACAGGACAGCTCTGGTAAGAGGTCTGTCTGGGAGACCCTTGTCTTGTACTGCTCATACAGGACCTAGTCCTGGGAGGTTCCCTCAACTGCCATTGAAGGCAATGGTCCTGACCCTATAATCTGTCCTACAATCAACTGAAGGCCCTCAGCTCCCATTAGCTTCCCAGGATTAGGACAGAAATGGGCCTGGCACTGTAAATGGAGACTAATATTATCAAAGATGCCTTGGGGTTTGGGATATAAAGTAAAAAGAATGGGAAACGGGCATCCAAATCCTGAAGGCAACTTTGAGGTTCTCAGCCCAGCAGCCCTTGTAAGGTAGGAGCAACCTCCCTTTCTGTCTGTGCACCTCTTCATGTGAGAGCACCATGGTAGGGGTGCGCCGATAAAGATTTTTTGGGCCAATACCAAAGGCCGATTGTTGACCAGCCATATCAGTCAACACCAATCCAATTGCTGATATGCAGACCAGCAGCATGGAGAGCAGTGTCTGGCTGGTAAGTCCATTGTGGAAAAGGGGTGGGGGAGGGAAGGGGTGTGGGGGGGTGCAGATCAAGGCCCCCATGGTGAGGGAGGGAGCGGGGCTGGGGCTGCCCAGCTGGGGCAGGGCATGGGCCAGAGCCATGGCTCATCTGGGGGGCGTAGGGATGGCTCCCACCGCTGCATACACCCATGGGAGAGGCATGGGGGACTTGTGTCCCCTAGATCTGTTCGCAGGGCAAGGGTGGGCTGCTCACTGCAGGCTGGGGCCAGAGGCTGTGCCTGGCTCTACCCAGCAGGGGGGTGGAGGGTGAGGTTGGACCGGGGCTGTGCTCAGGTCAAGCAAGTCAGGGTGGGTGGTGGCAGTGGCACTGGGGGGTGGGGGGCTACAGCCACCCCTAAATTCACTTTAGCCACCCCTCCTAGGACAGCCGCCACCACCCAATCCACCCTGCCTGACCCAAACACAAAGCACAGCCTGGTTCACCCCCTGCCCCCGGGAAGAGCCTGGCACAGCCTCTGGCCCCAGCCTGCAGCGACCAACCCACCCTCAGCCTGCGCACAGATCAGGGAAGTACGCACACCCCGTGCCTCCCCCAGGGCTGCGTGCAGTGGTGGACCCCCTCCTCACTGCTGGGCTACATTCCTGGCCGCATGTATGCTGTGGCTGTGCACATGCACACGGCATTTATCAGCGACATTACTGGCCACATCAGCCAAAAAAAGCTGATTGCCAATTATGTCAATTTTCCTTTTATTGGTGCCAATACAATATGGACAGATGTAATGGTGCACCTCTAGGCCCTGGTCCTGACAGAAGTCTCCAAAACCAACTTTATCTTCAGGCTCGCTCTGCAGCCTCTTCTCAAATGTTGTTCCTGTAGCCTTTCCTAAACATCATACAAGGATGTTGCTTTTGGCAGTGACCCCACCTTCCCTTTCCACATACATCATGACCAAGGCACAGCAGTGGCTTAATAAATACAGTCTTGTGCCTCTTGCTGAGCATAGCTGGGTGCATCTTCTGTGTAGCGATTCTGTGATCCAAAATGATCACTGAGGGCTGGATTAGAGATAACACGTTCTTTCACTTGCCACCAAAATCCTGCCTGGATTGGATGATAAGCTTGGGCACTCAGCCACCAACCCCCAGTGTTTAAAATACTCTGAAGGTTTAAACTGACATCTATCAGATGCAGAGTTTCTCATCAAGTAAATGAAAGCAAAGCCTAACAAATCCCAATATGGACCTCTACAGCATTTGCCTAGAATGATCTCCAGGTACCTGCAGAAGTTAGTTCTCAGAAATCCTCCCCATCCCAAGGGAAGTGATTATAACGTATCAAAATATGGGGAAACCGAGACAAGGAGAGGGGAAATGATTTGCCCAAGGTCATGCAGGACGTCAGTGGCAGAACTAGGGATACAACTCAGAATGCCTGCCACTTGGGGTGCATTGATATATTGGTCCATATCATATCGGCACCGATAAAAGGAAAATTGACATTATCAGCAATAGGCTTTTTGGGGCTGATAATGTTGCCGATAAATGCCACATGCATGCACAGGGCCAGGAATGCAGCCGAGCAGTTGGAGACCAGCATCGAGCTGGAAAGTCTGCTGGGGAGAAGGGGCAGGGGGAGGGAAGGGGCATGGGAGGGGGCAGATCGAGGCTCCTGCACTGGGGCTGCACCGAGCTCTTCCTGGTGGGAGGCTGGGCCAGGGCTGCGCTCAGGGCAGGTGATAGCAGCATTGGGGGTGGGAACAACAGTCATCCCAAACATTTGCCATAGCCTCCCCTGACCCTGCCAGTGCTGCTGCTGTCCACCCCGAGCACAGCCATGGCCCAACTCCCCGACCTGGAAAAGCCCTGCACCACCTGACCCCAGCCCACAGCAGCACCCCACCCACATACAGATCTTCATAGTTTCGTAGTTTCATAGTAGTTAGGGGTCAGAAGGGACCTGAAAAGATCATCTAGTCTGACCCCCAGCCACTGGCGGGAGCACACGCTGGGATCACACAACCCCAGACAGGTGTTCATCCAACTTCTTTTTGAATTTACCCAAGGTAGGAGCGAGGACCACTTCCCTAGGAAGTTGGTTCCAGATCCTAGCCACCCTAACAGTGAAATAGTGCCTTCTAATCTCTAACCCGAACCTATTCTCCAGCAGCTTCTGGCCATTGTTCCTTATCACCCCAGGTGCTGCTGGGGGGAATAGAGCCCTTCCTATTTGCTGCTGATCTCCCCTACCGAGTATGTAGGCAACCACCAGGTCCCCCCTCAGCCTCCACTTGCTAAGGCTGAACAGGTTCAGGTCCCTCAGACTCTCCTCATAGGGCCTGCCCTGTTGCCCTCCAAACAAATGGGTGGCCCTCCTCTGAACCCTCTCAAGGCAGGCCACATCCTTCTTAAAGTGC